AATAATAATAAAATAATAAAAATATAATAATAATATGATTTAATAATATAATAAAATATAATAATAATAAAAAGAGTTTCAGAACATAATCCATATGCCATTCTATTTGCATAACTCAGCGGTGAGGCAGTTGCAATCGAAACTTCGAAACAAACGTGAGAGTTTGGCTGAGTGGAAGGAGCGATTTAAGAGACAGGACACTTTCCACGGTGTTTTTATTATTTATTATTATTTATTATTATTATTTATTATTATTTATTATTATTGTAATTTATTATTATTTGTTGTTGTTGTTGTTAGGATGCTAATTGAGTTAGTTCGGCGGCTACGTGAACGTGGCGATGTGGGAGGGGTTTGCGCTGAAGCGCGCGTGCGATTCGCGGGCGGAGCCTGCACTAGTGGCTCCGCCTTTTTCGGACACCGCGAGCTAGGCATTGGCAAGCTCCGCCCACAAACCGTAGGGGGGGTGAGGCGCTCGCGTGTTATTCATGTTGCTGCAAATTAATCGTGGCAAATCCGGGTGATACTTTGGAAGATGACTTTCTGTGGTGATTTGACCTGAAATCAAATTTTTTGCAAAAATTTACCCTAGATAGAGTCGTCGAGCTAAACGGTGACCTGAAATTGAAATCAGGTTCGTACGTGTCGCTACGCGAAGGCACCGCAGAGGGGCGTGCGGCCACGACGACGCGTCGCGCCACGACGCTGATAGCCGTGGATACGCGCTGTTTGAGCGAGTCGCTGATGACCGACGACTATTTTTCGAATATGAATCCGAGGGCGANGAATATGAATCCGAGGGCGATGAAGCGAATCGTGAACGCGTTGACTTTGACTGGAAGGTTGTTTTTATTACTTTTATTTATTTTGTTATTATTTTTTATTGCTTAGTTTTATTTATTACTTTTTATTTTGTTATTATTTTGTATTATTTTTTATTATTATTGTGATTATTGTCTAAATGAACTGAGTACATCATGTGGTTATTATTGGCGAATGGTTCGTCGCACTCGTTTGTGGGCGGAGCTTAGCATTTGTAGGCGGGTTGTAATGCAAGGCCCGCCCACAAACGCGCATGCGTCTAGTAGAGCAAATGCGTGCGTGGTGCGGCTTTGGGTGAATGGATTCCATTCAGCTACATGATATCTAGTTAATATTATGTGGTGGTGTATTGGTTATTATATTTAATACTAATAAATAATGTATAATAATAAATAATGCAGTGATATTAAATAATAATAAATGTGTGTAATAATAATAAATAATAATAACGTATAGTAATAAATAGTAACGTATAATATCAGTAGGTAATAATGCATAATAATAAATAATAAGGTATAATATCAATTAATAATAATGTATAATAATAAATAATAAGGTATAATATCAATTAATAATAATGTATAATAATAAATAACAATGTATAATATCAATAAATAATAATGTATAACAAATAATGATGTATAATATTAAATAATATATAATAATAATAAATATTCAGGTTGATGCGCGCGTTCGAGATCGAGTTTTCGTGGGTGACGTTGGGCTATTGGGTGAGTCTGGTGGAGCNATTCACCACGAGCAGTTTTCGCTGGCACAGGTCCAATTTTTGTTATTTATTTATTGTTTTTATTATTTATTATTATATCTATTTTTATGTTTATTATTGTTATTAATAGGCGCTTATTTACTTGGGGGGGGGACTGGCACGCGAGCACGCTCGCGTGCAACAACGCGCGCACACGCTCACACGCTATGAACGACGCTTTCACATAGACCGAGGCCACGCCCACTGCGCATGGTCTCAGCCTAAGCGTAGTTTCAGCCCAAGCCTAAGCCTGGGCTCGCTTGCTAGCCCCTGCTGGTAACATCGAGCGATCTGAGGCTTAGGCTTAGATGGGGCTGAGGTTACGCTTAGGCTGAGACTATGCGCAGTAGGCGTGGCCTCGGTTGTTATACGCAAGCGTGCTCGCGTGCGTATCTCCCAAAGTAGACAAATGCCTATTATTATTGTATTCATTGTAATTATCGTTGTTATTGGTGTGTATTTGTCGTAATCGTACCTTCAGGTTTATCATCAGCTGAAAGACAAAATCCCCAAAAAGGACAA